TAAATATTTAAATCAAATCAACTTATAGTACAAGTAATTCAAAATAATATGATAACCTAGTTGAAAATTATCAAATCAAAATACACATTACATAACAATAGATGCCGACAGATTAGGAACCAATATCCTAAGCCCTTGGTGCTTTTTTCTTATCTTGGCTCAACCCAAGTCTTGTAAATATTAGAGAGCAAAAGGTTGAGTATCTATAACCACCCAAAAATTAAGGACAATCTAACATATATAAGTACATATCAATCGATTATAATGATGTAAGCATCATATACACAATTTCATGATTTTTTAACCTTTTCTTTCAAAGTTTTTGCTATGACCACAAAGCTAACAACTATGTGGTCGGACACAAGAATACAACAACACTCACATCAATGATAATTATTGATACACATAAGGAAACTTAATACTAATAATCATGTGCCTATATCAAGTTATGTAAAACCACAATAATAATAACTATGTGATCATATAAAGAAATGTATGATCAATACCATCTTTATCTTCTCCTGATACCTTCAACATGAAACTATTGGCTATTTGGTGGAATTTGCCTATTTGATCAAACTACTTAAGCCTTTCACTTATGATGAGCTGCCTAACTAAGACTACTATACCCAATTATGAGTCATAGTTTCTCCCAATAATAAAAATTATAGGGTGCTACACCCTTAAGCTAGCCTCCCATGAATAGGTAAAAACTAATTAGATTCAAGTCCTTCAAGAAATAAATGGGACAATTCCTCAAAAAACAAATGGGACAATGAAAACAAGGCAAGCCATCAAGCTCTAAATGATAGCCTTATCTTATGAATTTCAAATCCCTACTCCTCTCCTTAAGGTGAACTCCTACCTCATATAATCATATAAATGAATTTGTTGCTTAAACACAAAACTTGCACATTTTTAAACATGCCCTTACATGTAAATTTCAAACGACGTCTTTTATGGCATGTAATTTCTCAACACATCACTAGTAATGTCACATCATTCAACAACCACACAAATGACCTTTTAAAATAATCAATCCAGACATAAATATAGTTCATGCTTTTTATTTCAAAACTTTATCAATATTTTACGCTACTCCTACACATTCACATATCCATGTAAAATTTCACAATCATCACACAACCTTTATTTCATGTTCATGTTCATTTTCACACGTATCACAGAGAACATTTTTTTTAGTTATCATACTTGCATCTAAAACAAGATTTTAATCTTCATGATTTTCCAAACAAATTCATAAACTCATATAATCAATTAAATAAATAAATACACAAATTAAATTTTTTTTAATTACTTCAAACCTTTAGTATTTACGATCTTCACAAGTAAATCCTAGCTTCAACATCTAAAGAAAATGGAAACGAATGGAAGTAAAAAGCTTAGGAGACTTACCTTTAGTATTTACAATCTTCAGTTTTCTCTTAAATCTTCAATCCCTTGTCCGCTAGCAGAATTCTCAAGTTCTTTTCATTTTCTCTATATTTTCTTTCTAATTTTTAAACTTATGATTGCTCTTTTTTACTATTAGAATTCTACTGTGCACTATAGCGCATGCCATATATACCGCAACATGTGGTATAAAGAGTTGTGTTTCATGTGTTGGTGACTCATGCACTATGGCATGTGACACAAGAGTACTTTCTCTTGTTTTTCTCCCTTTTTGAGGTTCGAGCATCCCAACTCCACACTAAACTTAATCCTAAAGTTGAAATCATAACTCAAAATATTTATTAGCTTTCTTTAATCACACACCACATTAATTTACTTAATTAACCTCATTTAACTTAGCTTAATCAAGGTTAATTTTTCATAACATTACATTGAGGTTGGTCCTATGAAGGATCATTTCTAAAGCGGTTGAGTACTTCTATATAACAGCATTAGATGGGTGCAGCTTAAAGTAGCATCGAGTAAAGAAGAGTAAATGCAGAGCAACCAAGATAAGGGCAACATTGATATCTTGTTTCCAACTCAACAATACATCAAAAATGGCAAGGAAGAATGAGTGCCCCATGTCCGTCTATGTGGCCCCACCTTTCGAAAGTAACGTCCATTTTTCTATTACTTAACAATGAGGGGTTAGGTGCTAGGAATTTTAAAGTTGAAGGAATATTTTACACAATATATGAGTTTAAAGTCTAGGATACTATTAACATAGTAGTTTATGGAGTATATTGCTCATTGACTATTTAATGTAATATAAAGTTACCTGATAACTTGGAAAAATTGGGATAGTATGAGGGAGTTTTCAAATCTGGAGTGTGATCCTCCATTTTTCATGTCACATGAAATTATATTTATCATCAATTTTTTAAAAAGAAAGTTCAAGTAAATTAGGTCATGAAATTAAAGTTGCTAAAGTTTAGGCATGCTTTTAGGCTAAAAAAAAAAACTTTTAGAAATGCTTAAAGATTATCCATTTATAGGATCTTGACATCAATAGTAGAATTTGAACTTATGACCTTATAAGTTATGATCTTGTAGGTCAAATTCTTACCAATTAAATCAAATCTTTATTAATCCACCCCCTTCTTATAATCTGTTGTCATGTATTGTATCTTTATGGATTCATATGTTTTATGATAGTCAGGTTCATAATAAAACATACTGTACACTCTATTCACTTGATCAGCGCGTATTCAAGATTTGATTGATTTGTTAGAAATCTATGTCCTATATATGGTTTATTGCAGATATAGTAATAAAATTAAAATCATTTTATTACGTTTAAGAAATATTTAATTGATTAATTGATTCCGGGATTTTTTTTTTAACATGCTTTCTTGATTCCCCCAAAGTACGCCTCTATTTCTCGCCTCCTTCAAATAATTTACTCTCCCTCCAATCCTCTAATCATTTCACACCGAAAAAATGCCAATTGAGAAAAATTTAAGTATTCATATACGAATATCTGAAGCTACAACAAGAAAATACATAGAGAAAGCAATGATACTAGTGTTCTTTTTTTGTTTTTTTTAAAAAAACAGGTGGTCTTTTAGTAATCAGAGTTGCTAAAGTATTCACCTTTTTGTTTGCCTATACTTAATAAATCTCCAATTTCTTCCTCAATTTTCAGAAGGGAGGATTACATATAATCCCAAGTAAAAACTTTAATTACTCATATGTCATATTTACATGTTATCTTATGATATTTTACACACATGGATCTATGGATAATAAATTTTCCTTTGCAATATTTCTCTAGAATTCTTTCCGATCTCTCTCTTTCTCTCTATAGAAGGCGTGCCTCCAATACCCTTTGATTCTATATCTCCTCTTCAAGTTATTTATTCTTCTCTAATTATTCAAATTGTGTCTTTTTCTTTGTTATTTACAAGTATTTTTTTATTAAAAATAATCTTATTTAAAACAAGATTTGATATTAAATATAAACATATCTTCCATTCATAACATAAATTTAAATATTAGTTTGTAATGTTGTGAGGGACCTATCCCTCCAGTGAAACTTAACTTCTTTTGTGGTTTTAAAAGTAATGAAATTTTTAATTTTATGCTGGGTAAGAATTTAATATTTACATTTTCTGCAATAAATAGTCAACCTTTTTGGAATCTAGAAAAAGATTTCGAAGTTATTAATATTCTTTTACTCATGTTCTCTTGGTGATTCATTTATTTATATTAATCTTATCTAATGTGATCAGATCTTGGTGGCTTCATCATTTTAATAATTTCCAGAATAATTTATATTCGTTTCTCGGTATTAAAGGGACATAAAATTTTACCAAAAAGGGGGACATAAAAGTTACCCACACCGCAACAGAAATAAATTGCGAACAGCGATTTCTTTTAAAAAAAACTCCTGAACCCAAACATTCGTTGCAATAAAGCCAAAATATTTTATATTCATTTCTTAGCATGAATGTGTCATAACATTTTATTTCACAATAACTTATAAATATTCTTTTCATTTTAAATTATAAGATATTTTTTTTAAAAAATTTTTTGATGCACATGCATATGACTGTATAGTTGGGACTACAGGCGAACTTGACCTTTAAAGGTCTAAGCCCTTAAGCCCGATTATTCATTTTCAGTCTCTTTTTTTAGGCTTGATCCTTATGTAAAGGACTCAGGGGTGAACCCAAAAGCCCTGTTAAAAAAATTAAAATAAAATTAAACATTATAAATTAATTAAAATATTTTAAAATTTAAAAATTAAAATTCACACAATATTTTAAAAATTAAACAATATATTTAGAAATCTAAACAACACACATTTATCAATCAAAATCCAATTTTTTTTATTCTCATTATCTACAAATAAAACATTAGATCACTCAGATATAAGTGTATTTATTGAAGATAAATTTGAAAATTCAATGTCAATTACCTTTACAACTTCTTCTTGATCACTTACAATAAATATTAACTAAATTGTGTCATTATCAACCAAATATATGTATGTGTGTGTGTATATAAAATAATCAAGTTTATCAAGACTTGAAAGGTCGCCCGAGCTTGAGCTTTTTTTCACATAATTTATCAGGACTAGATCCTCAAGCCTGATTTTTTTTAAAAAATAATTTTTAAAATCTGAATCCTTATTTAAATAAGGCTTACAAACCCTAAAACTTAAATATAAACCTTATTCTGGACTTTATATGACTGTCGCCGTGCATGTCCTTTCATCGTCTATCGGGTCACCGGCCCTAATATTTCATCGTCTAACTTTTTCAAGCACGGAAAAGTGTCATAAAATTTAACCAAAACAAAATTATGTCCAAAGGGTCAATTTCTTATGAAAGGGCAGAACACACATTCACTGCAAGCTGCAAATAAGGAAGTTTTTTTTTTAAAGCAAAACAAGTTAAGGAATTTTTTTTAAAAAAAAAAGCAAAACAAATAAGGAAGTCTTTAGAAGACTTATTTCCAGTAACTGCCGCGAACACCTGCATTCTCACATGAACCACTCCGCGCCTCGTTATTCCAAATTCCGACCCAATTAAACTCTCTTCTGAATTCGCCTTTCATCATTCATTCTCTCTTTCACCGCCTTCATTTATAAGTAACGTTGAGAAGTAGAGCAGCAGGCCATCACACGTTCAGTGTTGATTTGCAAACCGTTCTCCTTGTCTCTTGTCCAGCCTCAAGCTCGTCCGCTTTCATCCATGGCGCACGTTGCCCAACTTCCCTGCGATTGCGACGGCGTTTGTATGGTCTGCAAGGCGAAGCCGGCAGAGGAGGAGAAGCTGACGTGTAAAACTTGCACCACGCAGTGGCATGCTGATTGTCTTTCCTCCCGTCCGGCAACTATGGAGGAGACCGTTCAATGGGAATGCTCCGACTGCTCCAGCCTGCCCTCTGACCTTCCGGTACTCAATGAGAAGACCTCGCAAGAGGGAGCTGGGGGCTTGATACGTACAATTCGAGCGATTGAGGCGGATGCTTCTCTAACAGAGATGGAGAAGGCCAAGAAACGTCAACGACTTCTCAGCGAAAAGGCTGTGTTAGAAGAGGACGAGGACGAAGCCGAAAAGAAGAGAGAAGAAGGAGGGAAGGACGTGCTGGATATTCTCAATGGAATTCTGAACTGCTCCTTCTGCCTGCAATTATTAGAGAGGCCGGTTACGGTAACTTCGAATTCCCTGAGATGCTTCACCACTAGCATAATTTCTCAGTTCTTCTTCGGTGAATGTAAATTATTTCAATCATTTTTTATTCTCTCTTCTCTTTCCTTCGTCAGCATTCCTTTATTCAACCCCATGCGGGTAGCTCCTTCTCTAAAGTGTCCCATCTAAAACGAATAAATTTTCTCTCTCTGTTTTTCTCTGGCCAAGTTTTCTCATATGATTTTATTTTTAATATGAGATATAGGCGAGCACTCTAAGGAAACCTTCGATCCTTATTATTACTTGTTCTTTGGTTATATGGTTCTCGCTCATTTGGATTATGTCCAACTTTTGTAGTTTTTTATTGGGATGGTGATGACTTAGCATCCATTATTACATCATATTCTCGGGGACTAATAAGAGATCTAATCAAACGTTTTCATCCAGACCCCTTGCGGCCACAATTTCTGCCTAAAATGCTTCCAGAGATGGATCGGGCAGGGCAAAACTATATGTGCAAAGTGTCGCGCTACAATCCCTCACAAAGTGGCAAGTCAGATTCGTATCAATTCTGCTCTTGTAAGTGCCATTCGTAAGGCAAAAGCTTCCAGAGTCAATGTTGGCGGAGAAACTTCCAAAGTCTACCATTTTGTACACAACCAAGATAGACCAGACAAGGCATACACAACAGAGAGGGCCCAAAGGAAAGGCAAAGCAAATGCTGCAAGTGGAAAGATTTTTGTAACAGTGCCTCAGGATCATTTTGGTCCAATCCCAACCGCGAATGATCCATTGCGGAATCAGGGTGTGCTTGTTGGCGAGTTTTGGGAGGATAGGCTTGAATGCAGGCAATGGGGTGTTCACTTCCCACATGTTAGTGGTATTGCTGGACAGTCAAATTATGGTGCACAGTCCGTTGTTCTTTCAGGCGGTTATGTTGACGACGAGGATCATGGAGAGTGGTTTCTCTACACCGGAAGGTTCGTAGATGGTTCCCCAAGTTTTGAACTGCATGTTTTTGGTTTCACTTGGCCATTCTATCTATATCGAAGTCCCCTGTTCACTGCTCTTAGTTTTGCTCGTTTGGCCTATGTGGCTTGGGCTGAAATGTGCTCACTGGTCGTGATTCCGTCGCAAATTATTGTTATATTGGTCATGCATGGTTGATAATGTTCTCCTGCTTCCCTCTTGGTTTATGCCAAACCATGACTACAATAAAGAGCTGAAAATATTATATATATATATATATATATGCCTCGACCGGTTGTTTTGTCCTTCCTGTCTAACAGTTTTAATTATTGGTTTTATTGGAAGTACCAGACTTAACTCAGGTGTTCTATCCCATTTCTTTATTTCTTTTTCCCCATACGGTCAGTTATTTTCATTCTTGTCGTTTTTGTTTTTTGGGTATTTGAACCCTGTTGAATAAATGTTCTCTCATAATGCGTTGCTCATATTGCGGACTCCTGATTCATATCTCTCCGTTTTCTGTTGAATTCACTAATGCGTCTGTTGTTGCAGTGGTGGTAGGGATCTCAGTGGAAACAAACGCACGAGCGATACACAGTCTTTCGACCAAAAGTTCGAAAAGTATAACTTGGCACTTAAATTAAGTTGTTTGAAGGGGTACCCAGTCCGCGTCATCAGGTGAGTATCTAGATCCAGAGCAGCTCTCTTTTCTTGGTTCCTCTATCTTTGAAGTATTTGATATTATGGTAGTGCATTTAGACGTGCTCAATTAGATCACACATGCTATTTAGTATAAGTAGGTACGCAAATTGCGATAACATTATAAACCACATTTCGTTTGGACTTGTTCCTTAAAATATTTTTTGTCCAAGTGGGGATAAGACGTAAGCTGGGAACAAAAACTTGTTGAGCGAGATATGTTAATGAAATACTAGCCAGTGATCAGGACAACTAAACTGCGATTTTATAAAATATGTAGGTTAGCGTTCAAGTCCCCAAATATAAGTTCAACCTCTTACTGGATTGTGTCTATTATTGTTCAACCACTTAACATGGCCAATATTTGAGATTTATATGTGGAACCTCTTCATAAATTCAAATATAGATCCCATAAAGAGAAGCGGTCCTCGTATGCCCCCGAGGAAGGTTTGAGATACGATGGGATTTACAGGATCGAAAAATGCTGGCAAAAACAAGGATTGCAGGTATATTTTGCTATCTATTGATAGTTTATTGCTTGACTATTAGCTAGTTCTTGTTTTAATTTATGCAACTTTTCTGATAACATATGGTTTATCCAGGGCTTCAAGGTTTGCAGGTATTTGTTTGTTAGATGCGATAATGAACCCGCTCCTTGGACGAGGTATTTGCTATGTTATTCATTCTATTTTCTTATACAGACTAATTAATTACTCCTACTAAATTATCTTAAATGGCATATAGTGATGAGCAAGGTGATCGCCCAAGACCATTACCAGTAATTCAAGAATTGAAGAAGGCTGTAGCCATAGCTGAAAGGAAAGAAACTCCATCTTGGGATTTTGATGTAAGTGACTTTTGAAGATTATTTTGCTGTGATTTCATATGGCTTCACTTTTTCCAAAAATTGCTTCCCAAATGAGATTAGTTATATCGAATACTGATGATGCAAGCAGAACCTTCAGAAAATATAATTAATGATTTCTTTAGGAGCAAGATTTTTGTTGGAAGTGGAAGAAACCGCCGCCTCCAAGCCGAATGCGTTTAAAAAGTGTGGATCCAGAAGAGATTGAAAGGCCAGGGAAAGAAATAAAGAAATCCAGAAGCATGTCAATTAGAGAAAGCTTGTTAAAAGGTACGATTTCTTCGCCGAGCTCTGTATTGGTCAACTTGTCATTTATAGTAATTCTATTTAGTTTTCTCAAACTAGTTAAACGGTTCATTTGCTCCTAATTAATGTAAACTTTAATAGTACCCCATCATAGATGCTTTATTTATGTTATTTTGTTTCCATATGTAGGATTTAAATGTTGTATTTGCGGGCAAATTATGGTTGCTCCTGTGACCACACCCTGTGCCCACAATTTTTGTAAGTCATGTTTAGAACGAGCATTCGAAGGCGTGCCTTTCATCAAAGAGAGAAATAAAGGTGGAAGGTCACTTCGTTCGCAAAAAAATGTACTAAAATGTCCTGTTTGTCCTACCGACATTTCTGATTTTCTTCAAAATCTTCAGGTTGGTCGTGCGTGATTTGCTCTCACCATCTCAAATTTCAGCTTCGGTCGATCTTTATTATTGTTTTAAGTGAAGAGAATATGTAAAAATGGTTTCTAAGTTCATCTGGTCGCATGCTTGTTCGACAGGTTAACAGAGAGCTAAGTGGTTTAATTGACTCGCTGAAGGATGAGATTGAAGCAGAAAGAGATTCATCGAACTTGATCAATGAGAATTCAGGCGGGGCAAACGCAGACTATGCGGAAACTGGAGATGAGGAGGAGGAAGAATTGGTTGAGATGACGGGTCTCATAGGGTTATAGAACAGGAACATGCATGCATGAGATTTTTATTTATTCATTATCAAACGAACAACTATCCTCAGTTTGATGGCTCTTTTCAAATGCAATGATAAAAGTTCAAAGGATTATTTCAGTAGTGGCTATCCTTTTTTAAGTCTGTCACAGCAGAGTTTTGTTTAAATTATCGTGAATATTAATAAACGTCAATACATAATTTTATCTGAGTAATAAACGTCATATTCATTCTTCTTTTTTTTTTAAGGGGGGGGGGGGGAAGGGAGAAAAGCAAATGAGATCTGAACTAAAAAATGTTCATAGATTCCAACAACAAAAAGTTTCCAATCCTGAACTTGTCATTACAGTGAACTTAGTCTGATTCAAAGAAAAGACTTTTGATCTTGAAAGAAAAAGGGATCAAAAGCAAGGCAATAATAGTGAACAATAAGAAGCAGACAGTTTTTACGCCATGGAGGATGCTTCTTTGTGAAGAGACAAGTACGAGGTCACCTCTTTGAAGCTTCCGCGAATAAACTCAAGGAACTTATTACTGACTCGTATATCTCGATTCCCCTCATATACACAGTATCTTGTAGGTGCTGCGAGCGAAGGCCATGGGAGTCAGAAGAAGAAACTGTCATCCAGCAAAAGTGGAGCGGAATAGCAGTAGAGGAGCTTAATGATGGAGGATTAGGGAAAATGTCAAACCTCATTGTGATCATGAAGCAGCATGGGGGTATTTGTCATTGCTGAGAAGCCAAGAACAGGAATTCCTCTCTGTCTAACATACCGAGAATCGGTTGTTGAAGCAAGAATTTCAGGTTTTGCAAGTTTTCCTCCAGTTGATGTGATGGCCTGCTCGAAAACTAGCCACCATGGATTGGAATCATCAGTTCGGGTCATCATGGGGCGCCCCACGTTGTCTCTAAGAGGTCCTTTCTCTTTTCTCTGCCACAAATCAGATGCACTCAATGTATCAGCAATTTTTTACATCATATGTGAGGCAAAAAAGATTGCAGTCCAGAAATTGAAGCGAAGACAATGGCCAGAGATTCACAGCCCTTTCTTATTAGTTATTATTACTTTTTTGTTTCTGATGTCAAATTCATTTTTTTCAGAGCGCAAGAATGGTGATAGGTGTTCATCCCTATACGTTGTTTATATGATTTGAGGCTGGCGTTAGTTAGAAAATATCATATGAAAGTCAATAAAGAGACCATAAAACGACAGGAAGTGAAGCATTTCGTGCGGAAAACAAAATTCACTTTTGTACTTGAGAGAATTTGGAAAAGGACAGAAATTGATTCAAAAGATGGCTTAGAAAATCATATACTGTAAAAGGTCATCTAATGCAGCATCTCGGGGTCATACATTTTCATATCTAGGCTAATCCAGGCTGTCAGCATAACTGTTCGAGGCCAAAGCACGTCATGCAGTGGGGGGAAATCCTTCCAGGCACAAGGCTTTTTAATCAAATCTGGACTTTTGAATTGGGCAGATTACCCAAGTTTTTTGAAGTTTGGGTATCATTCTGACATACTACGCTAAATGCTAATATGCCACAGTTCTCTTACCAACAGACATAATTAACTGGATGTTATTTCTAGCGCATAAAAATGAATTTCTTCTGGCGCAACATCCCACAAAATCATGATATCAAGCAGCATAGGGCTTCTAATCAAGGATTTACCAAACCAACTATTGGAACCTGTGCCGAGAAAAAACATTCTGCAATTCTCCGGTTGTGTTTGGCATTGCACGCAGCAATGATTGAACCAGGCATGAATCAAAGCAAAAAAGCAAGTTCTAAAAGGAAGCAAAATTCCACAAAGAAAACATGCGAGTAAAAAGGAACGTTTAATGCAAAGCCAGAACCCAGAAAATTTTTGAAGTCACTTGACAGACAAGTTCTCTGACCAAGACATTGCTTTTCAACGTGACAACTTGACTCATGTGATGAGGACCTTCAAATCTACATGCAAAGCGACCAAAAAAAAAAAAACAGAGAGAGAGAGAGAGAGAGAGAGAGAGAGAGAGAGGAAGAAAGAAAAGAAGCCAACTTCATCCGAGACAATTGACTCATTCGTTGATATATATCCTGCGTGTAAGGGCAATCTAAACATGACAAATAGTAACATAAAAAATTCATCAAGATTCAGAAGCTGCGCCCAAATCTTTCAATACTTTGCACAATATACGGTGTTCAACATGGAAAGGCAACCCAACTCGTCATTTCCCATTAAGATATAAAACGAAAAGCAGATTTCATGTGGATTTTACCTCATAAGACATATTTCTAGTGGCTGGTGCCCATTCTTGAGCAATTCTTCTTCTCATTTCTTCTGGATCCGCAGTAGGGGGCAGCCTAAGATCGAAACCTGCTTCAGCGTCCGAAGGCTGCACATTCATTGCAAATCCCTGGACAAATACCGCACAACATTTATTTCGAGGCTTTTTTGGTACATTATTTCAAGTCATTTTCAATATAATCAGAAGTGTCAATTTCAAAATAGATGTGTTTATGAAGCTCACGGTTATAGAAGGAACCCCGGCTTTCAAATAAACGGGATTAATTGAAATAACTACAGAATTAGCAACTTCACCGGACTTGACGACATCAAAATGACTCTCCCTAAACTTGCTTACAACCTCACAGCTCTTCATCAAATTCTCCACCGCACTATTATCATACATCGTCGACCCATGCCCAGGTGGCCCTCTCGCTTGAATTTTCGCTTCTCATGGCGACCTATCCGCATAGAACACCCTAAACTCTTCACCAGGCGAGGCCTGTCCTTCATCCAACATGAACCCAACATTTAAATCCTCAAACTCCTTCGAACCCACAAACTTGGCAGCCCCATCAAACCCACCAATCTCCTCGCCCGGAACATAGGCCACGTGAATCGTGCGGGCAGGCGTGAAATCCTTCTCTTTGAGATTCCGAATCGCCTCCAAATACTGCATCCCAATGCATTTATCGTCCTGAGCTCCACGGGCATAGATTCTCCCGTCGGGCGTACGGCGGGTGGATCCACTTTGAGGGCTTGGCTGGGACGTAGTCAAGGTGGGAATTGAAGAGAAGAGAAGGAAGAGAAGGATCGGAGCCAAGCCATGTGAGGAGAAGAAGGGGCTTACCGGGAGAGAGCTCTAGAATTTGATGTTGGATGCCGATGGAACGTGCTTAAGATGTAAGGAAGGAGACAGCTGAAGAATAATCGGGTTCTGGATGTGCGATCTTGATTCCGAGGTATCGCTGGAAACGAGTGATCGGCGTGTCATCTTCTTCTTGGTGGTGTTTATGGGATTGAGGCGCGGGTATTGAAGCTGCAGAGAAGAACAGTGATGTCGAGAAGATCAGAGTATGGTAAAGAAGTAGGAAGCTAGGACAGCGAGGTGCAGCCATGCATAAGGGAAAGTGACAGAGAGAAAGCCGACAGTAACTCGGAACTGGTGAAAGAGGAGACCAGAAAATTTCCAAGCAATGGGGTATTTATTGTTGGGGCCAAAAAAATAATTAATTATTATAAAATTTATTAATAATTAAATTAAAATTATTAACAATGCAGTTGTTAATAATTTTAATTTTATAATAATTATTTTTTGTTGTGAAATTTATATATAATTTTTTCTTTTTTATTTATTGATTAGATTTTAATTTTAGCCAAAAATAAATTTTAATTTGTGATTATTGTTTGATTTTTGCTCGAATTCAATAAATTTCTCCCTGTCAATTTTAACTACAGATTTGGCCAACAAAATTTATATCTGTAAATAATGTTAAAATACTCTAATATTTCTGAAAGTATGTATAAAAAAGTATTATTTTGAGAGATAATAACTTTTAAATGATGTTTAAATTTTTTGAAAGATTAATTTCATGGCTTTTGATTTTAAAGATATTATAAGCAACAAAAAGAAAAAACACTCTGACTTTTTCTTAATCTTACTCAATTACAAAGATTTCTCTTGTATTTACAAAATATACAGTGTCATTTGATTTTAACTACTCCTTGTTGGAGACTTTGAAATATCTTCTATTATTTAAATTATATATAAAAATAATTACCTGTTGTAGATAGGAAATAAATTTGACTTTTTGTGGTGTGAAAAAAGACACGTGCCATTTATATTTTTAGTCATTAGAGTCTAATTGAACTCACTATGAATTACAGATTATTTTTTTTTAAGAACATTCAATGTCTTTAAATGATGAAAAATGCTACTAGAGTGAGTAATTCACATCAAACCCCACGAATTAAGCCAAACAAGTTAAGAACAAATTTAGGACCAGCTTTAATAAAATAATGGTTTTTAAATGTTTAGATTAACTCAAATAGACCCAAATATTCAAATAAAAATATTATATGTTTAATATATATAATATAATAAATGTTAATTAATTTTTTAAGTTTTTGATCATTTTATATTAAAGTGTCAAAACATTTGAGTGCATTATTATAAATATTTTTTAAAAAATAAAAATATTTTTATTTTCATATTTTGATTATTTTTAATTAGAGGCAATAATTTAAACTAATTTAAATAAAATTTAAAAAATTAGGGTTAGAATTCATAGTTTGAAAAAATTTATATTTTGAGCTTATTCGAGTTGTCTAGATAAGCTCGAATATTCATATCTATTTTTTAAATAAAAAATAAATTAATTTCAACCGATGCCTCGCTCATCGCTGCACCCTACTTTTTCTCCCTTTAATAATGTAGTTGATAATTTAGATGAGTCGGGTTTTATTTGGATCATAATTATTCGAATTGAAATTAAAACATCAAAACATATAAAAAAATCTATATAGACAAACTCAACCCCAGCCCCTCAGACTTATTCAGACTGGCTCGAATATTAAAATTATTAAGTTTTTAATATTTTATATTTTTATGTAATTTTAATTCTAAAAAATTAATATCTTAAATTTTTATACTATTTTATTTATAATAAAAAAATCAAGTATTTGAGGAAAGTTGATTCCGGTTTAGACTTGCCTGAATTTCTTCACTTATTCAAGCAATCAAATAAGCTCAAAATAAAAAAATTATTTTAAATTAAACTAACAAGCTTGAATTTAAAATTTTTAAAGTTTATTCGAGTTGACTTGTTTAGCTGGCTCAAATTACCCCTCCATTCAGCAATGACTACGTCTTCCCTGCTGCAAAGGGTGACGCTCGACTCTCAGCTTTCCATCTTCATCCTTCGTCTTCTTCGTTCAGTCTTCTTCCTTCTTCGCTCGACGCTTGCCCAGCTTGGCTCAAAGTTCAGATCTGAGTAAAAAGCAAGAAACCAATTGCTCAGGTCCAGCTTCCAGAGTCAGATCCTCCCATTGACGTTTCCTTTGGCATCGTTCTCATCTCCAAAGTCCTGTAGTTGCCTTCGTTTTTCGCTCAGGACTTCGAAACGGATCTGCGGTTCTAGAACTGCGCCGTCGCCGCCCTTCAGGAAGTTGTCGAAGCTTATCTGGTCTGTCTTTTCGAGGACACTAACCTGTGTGCCATTCACGCTAAGAGGGTCAGTGTTATGCCTAAGGATATTCAGCTTGTGAGGCGTAATCTCAGGGATGAGCGTGCTTAAGCATTGAGTTAGAGTTGCATAATTCGTTTGTTAATGTTTAATTGCCATAGCTTAGATGGATTTACCTTTTGGAGCTTTTTCGTGAGCAATCGCTGACATAATGGTTATATTTCTTCTATAATTTTGTGATTCGATGTGCCATTTTTTATACCTCTTAATCAAAAATTAAAGATTTCTGAAGCATTTTTGTGATTTATGGATGACAGAAAATCCTTATCCTGGGTAGGGATTCAATCTTGCGCCTCATGCTCGGACTTCTATTTCTACTTTTTATATTCAGGGGCGGACGGTCAATTATCTTGAAGGTAATGTGAAAGAATTGATAGCTATTGGTGTATTTTAGGGTGTGTTGCTGTGTTTATACTGTTTGCAGAATTTTAATTTTTAAGTTAAAAATTAAAATTGGTTAAAAAATTTAATCTTTAAAAGTTTTAGATAATAGTGCTGACCTGAATAAGTTCGAAACTCAAGGTTATTTAGAGTTGAGTTTGGCTATATTAATTTTTTATAAATTTGGGTATTTTAAACTTAATTCGAATAAATCTGACTCACCTGAATTATCAACTCTAATTTTTATTTATAAAAAATTTTAAAATAATATTTAAAATATATTTTTATAGTGATTTTTAGATTTTAAGACTCACATATTTATTTTTTAAAACATTGAATCTTATACATCACTTAAATATCTAAAAAAATATATTTTTATATTTTTTATTAAATAAAAATAATTAATTTTAAAGTATAAAATAAATTAAAATTAATTTAACAAAATAAAAATGCAGATATTTGGGTTGCTTGAAGTCTAGAATAAATTGGTGTTGAGCGTAGTCTTTTAAGCTTTTCAAGAAGCTTAAGCTTGTCTTGGTCAGACTTATTTAGGCCTCAACCCGTCCAAATTATCATCTCCAAGTATAATAATATCCATAAATTTGCTTTAATGGGTGCATTAGTTCCCAAGCAATGAAAAAACAAATGACATTCATTAGTTTTCTAACTTAACTTCCACAATCCATGCTAGGTGGCTTTTATCCACTGCCATGTCACTTCAATTAGACTTATTAATTCAGGAGAGGTGGGCATATTTTGGTTAGATGCAATTTGGGTTGGTCTTAGTTTGAACTTATAAAAAACCCAAACAGTCAAGGTCGGTTTAAAACTCCTCGAGCTTATTCAGGTCAGTCTAAATATTCAAAGTATCAATTTTTTTAAAAAATTAATTTTAATTTATTTTTTACTTTAAAAATAATTTTTTATTTTAAAAAATTAAAAATATATTTTTTGGAATATGTAAACGCGGTAGAAAACTTGAACTTTTTATTAAAAAATTTATCTCTTAATTTTTTTAACTTTTAAATCACTCATAACTTGATTTCTCAATTATAACTTGTTATAACTTATTCTCTCAACTATTACTTATTGCGACTCAATTTCTCAACTTTTAATTCACTTATAACTCAATCTTTATTCTTAATTTTTTTAAATAATTATCCTTACAAAATAAAAGGGATAAAATAAATGCTTATATCTTACTATAAAATATACTCCTCATGCTTTTTGATGTGAGATCTAAACTAATATGAAAAAAAAAAGCTAACAAACATTGAGGGATCGAGTCAAAGAAGAGTTAAAAGTTGAGGGACTGAGTTATAAGTAAATCAAAAGTTGAAGGACTGAATCACAGTGAGTCATAATTGAGGGACTAAGTTATAAGTGAGTTAAAAGTTGAAAGACTAAAAAATTATTATTTTTTAAAATATATGAATTTTAAAATATAAAAATCAGTATTAAAATGCATTTTAAATATTATTTTGAGATATTTTATAGATTAAAAACAATAAAATGTGCTAATATAAATATTATTTATTTTTATTTAAAATTATCTATAATAATGTACTCAAATATATGATATCTTAATATAAAATGACTCAAAACTTTAATAATTATTTTATATTCAAAATATTTTATACATGTTTAAAAATATAGCTTTTTTAATTCAAGTATTTGGACTAAGTTTGAACTCAATTAGGCTTTGATCAAATTTTTTCAAGCTTGTTTGAACTAGTTTAAATAAGTCTAAATATTAAAAAATATTATTTTGTTAAAACCTTGTGTTAAATTTTGTTGAGCTTGGTTTGTATTATCCACCCTAATTTCAATCTTGGCTTTCTTTTCTTTCTTTGTCTCATCTCCGCAACTCAATTCCTTCTCACACCTCCCCTTTGAAGTCGTAGTGTGGATATATTCGACATTCTTCTTCCAATCTCGCATAAAGATTTTGTTACCTTATGCTGCTACAAGGTATGCTATCCCTAAATCTATTCTCTTTCTGCAATAAGCCTTTGGCTGGCCCTTTCTTTATTTCAAATTTGATGGGATTCCATCCCGAGAAAAATGGGCACAAAAGAAAGTGTAACGACATTTGTCATTAACTAATCATAAATCCATATAATCAAACCAATCACTGAAACTAAGGAGCAACTTTGGTTAAAATTATTTTCTCAATTGACTCCTAAAGTATTATAAGTGATGGGATCCAAAAATTTTTTAAAGAAGATTTATGATGCACAGACATTTGAAAAATACTTAAAATCAAGGCATAAAAGTTTGCAAAAACATAAAAATAAGTTGAGCATTTTGATGAGAATCAAGGGATGAGTCATAATACAGTATTTCGTACAGTTGATTCAAGGGCATCGGAGGATTAATAATTAAATCCAGAGCCAAGAGACAAAAGAATCCTTAAATTCATTAATTAAAAATGTCCTACATGATTAAGAAGTCCTAAAAACAAATAAAGTTTTTCAAGATCTAAGAAAAACTCTTGGCATATATGGCTTGACCCAATATACTTAGACTCATCAATCCAATTAGTTTAGTTATTATTTTTTTCTTAAATTTAAAAAAATAGTTTAACTCATTTTAATTTTAAATTTAAGTTGAGGAAAATTAGTTTAATTTATTTTAAATATAAATAAGGATAAAATATATCCATTAGTACTTTATCTATCCATTTGGAATTAAAGACTAACTACAATTATGTCATTTAGGTTTTTAGAAGTCCATTTAAACAATTAAGTCATTTGTATTTTTCATTTTTAATTAAATTTATAATTGAGCTTTCTTTCAATTATGAGGCTATTTTAATTAGTGTTGTTTTTCACAGATTTTGAATTATTGTGAGTTATCATTCAATTGCCGCGTATTATTTGGTATCTAGAGTCTTTGTTATTTTTTTAGGCTGCGTCTTTTCATCATGTTCTTTTATGATGTTCTTGATTATTTATCATATTTATCCTTTTCATTCGTTCATTCTTTCTTTCACATATAATTCATGTTTATTGTGTTATTCATTATTTATTATATTCATTTTTTTCATTCATTCATCCTTTTTTTCATATATCATTTATTTATTTTTTTCATCTATTTATATATTTTCCATCCATTCTTTTATTTAAAAAAATCTTTTGATTTGTTATAGATTTTTGTATCTCTTTCCCTTACACATTCAGATTAAAACAAAAGGCAACGTGTTTTAAAGATAAAAGCTAGCATCGTTATGGGAAAAATATAAAAAATCATGCAAAAAATAAAAAGCTACAAAAAATTAAAAAAAAAGAGAGTTGAAAAGAAAAGTTATTTTAAAAAAAAGTTAAAAAAACAGAGAAAGAGAGTGGAGATTTAATCTGATAGAAGAAAAAGTTGGTATATTTTTCCTAATTTGGTGAATCTCATCATATTTTATCTAATACATCTCTTATTATAACTACAATGATTTAAAAAATTATAACTTTTTAAATTATAAAGAATTATTAAAGTAATTTCATACAATAATTTAATGTCATAAAAATCTCTTAAAACTTTATTTTTATTATTATATTTTATAAAATCAAATTATTTTTTTATTTTTAAGAAATTTATTCGTCATTGTTCTTAAAAAATTTTTTCATTTTATTTTACGAACGAAAGCACCTAACCATTTTTTCCAGCTTCACAGTACATTTAAAACCTCAGACGCGCCTATGAAATGCGTGATGCCAGACCCTTTAGGCCTTTAACTATTCACGGGCAGTCGGGCACTTGTGTGTAGCTGTGAAAATATTAATATTAATTAGAACCAATAAAACCTGTAACCCGAGAGCCTGAAAAAGAACGACAGATCGTTTAATTGTCACGACCAAACGCAGAAGCAAGAGAGAATCTGAGATCTGCGCCCGTAGTGGTTGTGTTTGATCTGCTTCTAAGCTGACCTTTGCTAATCTCTAATGGCGAAGGATTTGAAGTTAAGCTCTCAAACAAGGCTATTGCTCCTACCGTTCGCCCTTTCCCTTTTCTGCTTTGCGAGTCGCCTTCTACCTCGAGCAGATGCCATATGGTTAAACATTCCCAGCTCCGGAACCAAGTGCGTTTCTGAGGAAATCCAGTCCAACGTCGTCGTGTTGGCCGATTACGTTGTGGTGGCCGATCATGCTGAAGTTCATCGCCTTCCCACCATTTCAGTCAAGGTATAATGTTTCTTTGCATCATTCTTCATGATTCATTTGCACCTCCTACTTCCCTCTTTTTTGTTTATTTATTAATATTAATACTAATTCTCCGCTTCCTTTGCGGTCAGGGTGGCCTATTTGATATTTTTGCCTGGTTTCAGTCCCTAAATTCACTTAATTTTCGGAAATTAAAATTTTAATTTCACAAATGAGGCTCGCTTAGTTTGACGACTCTTGAAATTGGACAATTAGCTGAAGGTCATTGAGAGATATTGCCCTATTGACATAGAACAATTTGCAATTTGAAAACTAAAATTGACGTATGTATATCGGAAGACGGAAAGGGAGGGAATAACAGAGTTGATGACTAATCTTGAAGTTTGGGAACCTTGGGATCTTTCTTGAATTCCCTACTTTGTCGAAGATCGGTAACGAGTTGGAGACTGGAGACTCCATAACTTCCTCATGTCTCTGATTTGCTGTGCTAGAATGCTGTGAGCTAGGACTAGTCTGTGTCTGTGCATGAATGGATTTATCTAATTGGATTATCACGAAGGGTAATATTTGCAATCTTTGTCAGGTAACATCTCCTTATGGAAACAATCTTCACCACAATGAAAACGTGACCCATGGTCAATTTGCATTTACAACTACGGAGAGTGGGAACTACTTGGCTTGTTTTTGGGTGGATGGTCAACACCAAGAAGGTGCAAGTACAAGTCTTAATCTTGAATGGAAAACTGGAATTTCTGCCAAGAATTGGGAGACAGTTGCGAGGAAGGAAAAGATTGAGGCAAGTTTCTCTAATGTGTTATTTCCTCTAACCGCCATAATTTAATATTTATATGGAGTTTAGACTACAGAGTGTAATGCCTTTTTTTTTTTTTTTGGCATTGTTCAAGGGTGTTGAACTTGAGCTGAGGAAACTTGAAGGGGCAGTGGAAGCCATCCATGAGAATCTGATTTATTTGAAGAATAGGTAAATCTGCTTTTATTATCATTAAGAGTTCTCTTCCAGTTCAATTCATACAGGATGTGTTCTCACTGTTGTGAATGTAGGCTTTTTCTTCTTATTTCTTTGGCTTTATAGGATAGAAATTTGTGGCATGGATGGGAGAACATATATCCTGCTAAATATAGGCACGTCCATGGGATAAAATCATGTATAAATATCAGCTATAGTCACAAAAAAGGAAGCCATCCCCCCTTTTGCAATGTCGATCAAGTCATTCTCACCATTACTCGGTTCCTTTTTACAATTTTCAAGGGCAAGCCTACAGGAGTTATCTTTTATGTACAAAATTATTATTATTTTATTTCTCTTCTATATTTTAATCAATGAAATAATTTCTCCCATGAACTTTCTTCATAATACAGATAGCATGGAAAGTAGGTTTTGTCAAAATGGGTCATGCCTACATGCGTGCAGGTTCAATTCTATAGAAGTATGAGGCTAGAATGACGTTCATTTGAAAGAGCACTTTTTAAGAGCCCAATTTGGCCCTCGGGGCCAATCTAGACTCAACGCATATATATACGTTATGGCGGAGGTTTAAAAAAGTGAAGAAAGAAAGAAAGCAAATGATAGTTCAATTGTTAAATATGCAACTCAATCATATTCACAAGAGAGTGAGATCACATCCTTTTGTCAATGTAAGGACATGATTAGTAAATTAGTTGAAAGTATTTCTACAAGTTTTTTCGAGCCATGAGGTTTATTATGATTTTGAGAAGCCTCAAAACCTAACACATCTAAAGTTAAAGACAATAAAAAGACCCGGAAGGCATGCTTTGCATATTTGAGTTCTTTCAGGTCCTGTCATCAGCTGATCTTGTGGTTCTCTTTAGCATTTTGAAAGTTTCTTTTGTTGGACATTGTCACAGGGAAGCAGAGATGAGGGAAGTCAGTGAAAAAACTAATGGTAGAGTGGCTTGGTTAAGCATCATGTCTCTTGGAGTTTGCATTTTGGTTTCAGTTTTTCAGCTCTGGTATCTGAAGCGCTACTTTCAGAAGAAGAAGCTCATATAGATACTGTTTTCTCGTGACGCTTGTTGACACAAAACTGTTCTCTCAATTTTTGAAAAATCTAGGATTAGATGATATGCTTGAAGTATCTACTGGGCGTGTACGTTTTATTCAAAAAATGTAGGATTGAAGATTCTTGTTACTTTCATATGGCTGAACGGAATGACGTTAGATTTTGATGATGAGTATAGATTGATTGATCAGGTCATCAGAATTCAGAAATATAGTGAAATAAACCAACTATTGAATTGTGGGGTTGGCATCTATTGAGTTAATATTCTGTACGATGATTAGTCTGTATTTGCAAGATCTTACATCCTCCCCAGTGCGCTCCATATTCTGCGAGGGGAATCATGGTAGTATCATTTTATACCTGTAAATAGAAAATAGAAAGGATAAATATTTGTCAGTTTCTTGGGTTAACGAGGCTTCGATTATGTGAATGGAGGGGAAAAGACAGAGAGAGAGAGGGAATCATAAATTTATTCATGGTTGCCGGCTGGTGTTCGCAGGGGAGTCTAGTGTTCTTTCTTTATGGTGCTTCTTCTAGCTGACAGTAGTTCCAGCAGCCAATAATTAAACTTACTAAACTAAGTACCGGCCCATTCTGAGAATCTGGTTGACCATATATCAAATCACATATCGAATGGGCTAGTATTGGGCAGCCGTTGTATTGTTCTTATTCACGCATTGGAACCCCACCAAATTTTTTTTTAAAAAAAAGGCATACCACAAAAAGCTCGTCATACAATTTCGTGCTTATTATGTTGTCCGGCGTGCTCAGATGACGGTGAGGTGAGTAACAAGGGAGAGAACAAATCCATTGGAAAAATAAAAGATTCATATGCCTAAACTAATCTGATAGTTGAAGGCATAAATTTCTTTACAAAAGATAATAAAGTTAGTCAACAATTCTCAAATTTATTTTCATATTTAATAAAAGAAAACCAGAACTGATCAAATATATGAGCATGCAAGATTAAAAGAATTTTTATTCAATTAATCACATAAATTGAGATGCTTTAAATTTAAAGTTTGAAATCAGGCTCTAATATTGCGTGTAAATGCTAGTATCTTAATTAAAATAAGACTTAAGACAAATGAAATTTAAGTAAAGTAACGTGTGTATCTGAAGAATTCATGAATGATTGTAATTTTTCAATTACCTTAAATATAGATAGACTTACAACTTACTAGACTCCTGTAGCTTGCAGAGAGTTTAGAGATAATGAAGATGGTAAAAAAGTATCATGTATTTTGGTTATTGACTAATTAACTTATATGGACTAGATCAGTAACCGTTTTAATAAATTAATGAGTTAAGGGTCAATTTTATCCCTGAAATGTACTTGAAGGTTCACAAATGACTTTAAATTCAACTTGGGATTAATTTTATCCCTTAACTTAAAAAATTTGATCTTTTGTGCCCTTGATATTATTTTTCTATTAAGTGGGTCCCATGTTTAAATTTTTAATATTTTATATTATCAAATATTTGATAGCGAGTCCTACAATTCATTTTTAATATTTTTTATAATATAAAAAAACTAGTCTCTCTCTCCCCCTCTTTGCATACTCCCTCTATCCTCTCTTCCTCTCTGCTCTCTCCTCTGGTCATTCCCTCTCTCTTATCCACTCCCTGCCTAGCTTGATGGTTCCTAAATCATCAACCTCCTCATCTCATCCACTCCTTGATGACTACCATTGTCTATTTGCTATGCCACTATGATGCCTAGCTTGCTTCGTCGTGCACATTGGAATTTTAGTAACTTGTGATTTGTATGATAGGGGGCTTAGCATGGATCATGTATAGAATGAGATCCTCAAGATCTTGATATCTTGAGACAGCCCAAAGTTAGAGACCTTGGGATCCTCGTTTTTGTCCAGGAATACATTCTCAAGCTAGATATCCTAGTGGGTGATGTCATAACTGTGACAAAAATTGATGTAGAAGTTGAAGTTACACTTGGGTGAGCTTGGTGTCATATATGTAAAACTTGAAGGCATGTGGTTGGATGATGAGCTAAAAAGATGAGGATAGTAAGGACGAGATGAATGAAGATGACGAGAAGCTTCCTGAAGAATATGAAAAGGTAGTAGGAGCAACTTTTGCTATGGTGATAGTGAGAGTTGGATTGCTCACCCAGAGGAACAACTTATGGTTTGTGGATGGCAACATCTACGGCCAGAAGGGCTTCAGGACTTGTTCAAAATAGAGTAGAAGAGGTCACTTTGTTTTCATGATCTAGGAATAGAGCAAATGTGGGATTTATTCAGAACATCGGCTTAATGCAATTTCAAAGTGAGAATGGAGGAGAGAGAGAACATGTTCATACTACTATGCCTTTTCTAAAGTCGTGCATTCTTAGAGTGATGCTTGCAAAATCAAACTTATGACTTGCAACAAAGTAAAGCCAACATGCTCCCATTAGCAAGCCACGAGTTTAATAAACTGGCATGAGACAAAGAAGAGAGGGTAAGGAGAGGCAAAGAGGGAGAAGGAGAGAGATTTCACCAAGCTCAGCCATCAAACATAGCAACCTCTATGGCATGAGTTCGTGGGCAAACGTGAGTTAAGGAGCAAGAATTGGTTCAATGAGGAGTGGGAGAGAACCACCATGGTTGCAGCAGAAGCTATAGTTTATAGGCATGAGTTTATGGGCACACTGAAAGCATGAAGATTGTTGAGAGGGAAGAGATTGGGATAGAAAAATTCTTAAAAAAAATGAACACCGAGATCCACTTAAATATTTTATAATATAAAACATTAAAAAATTTGAATGTGGGATCCCCTTAACCAAAAAATAATGTCAAGAGCATGAAAGATCAAATTTTTAATGTTAAGGGATAAAATTGATTCCAAGTTGAGTGTAAGGTCATTTGTGAACATTGACATACACTTTAGGGGCAAAATTAATCCTTAACTCTAAATTAATTAATTATTTAATCTCATATTATCTTTGACTCTTCTGTCAGTTAATTAAAAGATAGAAAATAAGTAACAGTTATAGAGCTGTAGGTTGGACCTCTATACATTGGACTAACTTGTGTGGTCCACCTATCACGGTCTACACAAGTTCATAAAAACTAATCTCTTTGAACTTATTAATTAACGCAAATTTATAAATATTTATAAATATTCCTACATGTTAATCATTTTGATGGATTTATTCCTAGTGCTTTTTGGGCTCGCAGGAGCGAAGGGGAATCGCCATTATCATGAAGGTGAAGTTTTCACATGCTTGGTCCATTGTCTTTATTTTTGACTAGATACATCATACATGTTCCATTGCCAAGAACGGTTTCTCTTCACACCACGGCATTCCAATCGACATAATTTTCACCATGAAACACCAAACCTATAAAATTGCAAGCTTTCTAGGAAATAATTGAAAAGTTAGGTCTTAGGATTCTTCAGGATCATAGCATGCTTTTGAACTCAAGAAACATTTAAAAGAGATATATATAAATCTCTTGTCAAGAGGATCCTTACAACAACAATGAGATTTAAATCTATGATTTTGTATATGAGTTAAAGGTCAAATTCTTATCAATTGAATTAACCATTATTAGCAACTTGGGGTTTGTTATTAATTATATATCCTAGAGCCTGCTGTCAAACGCGTAGCCAGTGGAGGCTAAACATTGATGAGAGCTTGAAAGCAAATTAAGCAACTATAATATAGTCATGATATCAAATTCTCAAGTTTGGCCCATTCATCCTCCACTTGGTCACACGTGAGAGGATGGAATCATAAAGTGAAGACTATGCCAGCCAATTTCGCGCGACTTCAGGATAAATTTAGGTTCATTTCACTATCCATTTTGGTGAATATTGCGCTTCCAATCCTAATAATGCAAGTCATCAACAAAGCAAACAAGATATTCTATAAAAGCATCGTTTTTGTTTCTTGGTCATGTTATAGTGGATAGATTATATCTGACTGATAGCGCCAATACCTATTATACGGGGAAAAAAATTTCTTGGTATGTCCCTTATGATGGACCAAAATTATTGCTGAGTTTTCAAAGAAAATCACTTTAACGAACTAAAAGGATGATAAAAATAACTCTTCTTTTGACAATAATGCTTTGGACCTCAATCAGGGCATCCAATTAGATATTCACTCCACTACCTTTTTTATCAGATCCAAGGGAAAATATTTCGAGTTTGTGGTTCTTCTTCTTTTTGTACGTACGTTTCTCCTCAGTCTTCCTCTGCTTTTGGCTTTAAACTTTCCCTCCTCCATGGCCGCCTCTTCTTTGCAGAGCATATATTTTCTGTTCCCTTCTCTCTCCAATTCATCCTGATGGGAATGGCTGAGCTGCACCACTCACGATCTTATAGGCTAGCTTTCTATATACTTCAACCAAGCACAAATGAACTATTCAATCTATGAACATCTCTTCCGTAACGCAGGCCATAAACCTCATCTGCCAAATCAAGCTTTAGTTTCATATTCATCTCGGGAGGTGCTTTTGCCTATACTTTTAAAAAACTAGTGGTTGTTATAATGGGCACCCAACGTATAACATATTAACTTTCTAACATAATTGCCGTACTTTTTTTTTTTTGAATACGTGGCGCATCCATCTGATTTGGTTTTACTTTTAAAAGTTAATTGCTTATTTGATTTAAAAATGTGCTCATCTCTTTAACTAGGAGTATCCATACCTGGAGGCTGGCTACATGAAATGGAAGTGAGGGTGGGTAAATGCTCATCACTATTTGCAGATATTATAAATTTTGAGAAAGGTATTAATTATTATTATTTTTGCTTCTCTGCATTTTTTTTTAATAAACTCAAATCAACATGTGCCTTTTTTTTTAAAGATGTAATCTTTGTTATAAATTTAAAGATCTCTTGTGATATTATTAAAATTATTGATGAGATAATGTTTTTATTTATTTATGTGCTTGTTTGGCGAGCACTACTCTTAGATATTTTAAATTAAATATTTATACAGTTTCTAGATTTTGAAGAGAAGATGATCGAAGAGACTTTTGAGAAAGAAATTGATGAGCAATAAATCTCCAGCGGTGACAAACTATAATTGATCAATATGAAAAAAACATATTTACAAGGACCATTCCAACCAACTGTAACATAACTTTTCACAGCAAACAATTGAGAATCGTATGAGAAGATTTTGTACTCTTCGACTTTAATTAACGCAATCTGTCCTTTTGTAAAAAGAAAGTGACTAATAAGTGCATATTGTGGAAAAGGACACGGCACGTTTACTTATATCTTACCTTTC